AAAACCAGGGTCAATACGATCACTAGGTAGGTTGCTCATGAAAGGACTTAGTGTTTTGGCCTATAGTCTCGTACAAGTTACGCATTCACGAACGACCTTCCTAACCAAATTCCTACCACTTAATGACTACCAACATTCACGCATCGAAGCTAAAAGCAGTTGAGGACTAGCATGTAGTAACCGTTTGTGTTCATGCCTACACAACAAAACAGTGAAATAATGTTTACTGCACAGTAAAATTGGATGCTGTTTATCATAATCGAAATTTAACTTTGTTGTCATCCATGGATACGTGTAGTCCAGTTATAGGTCTATTATTGCACGTAGTTATAGGACGACCGTTCACTAAACAATTATAAACGTCGGGAAAAGATTGCAACTGTGCACATCTAACTAATAAGCAGGGCCAGATTTAGGATTGTGGAGGCCCCGGGCCACTTAGGATTTGTATTCTTGTTAACCCATCGAAATGTTGTTATTTCTTAAGCTGTTGTGGAGGCCCCTGGGCCACAGCTCCACCTGCCCTGCCTTAAATTCGGCTCTGCGGGCAAGTACCACCCCACTCAGCCATTAAGCGATTGGGGTACTCCCTCAAGATGGGTAGTGAATTAGAAGTGCTTATCAGGGCCATTTGAGATTTTGATATTTCACTCAGTGTTGCCAACTCGGATTTTAAAAAAGGCGTAGGCCCGATGAGAAAATTACGTAGATTTAGTAATTTTTGCATATGAAAAGTACGTAGATCTACGTACTTTTTTCTGAGTGAAATTAAGAAGTCAGGTGAAACCGAATGAAACGAGTATTTTGTTATACAATTTCTTTAAAAACGGGAGATAGAACAAAGAGTTCTTGGAGAAATCGCTGCATTGGAAGCATTTACTTCGCTGCGGTAGACCATGACCATGTGGTATTATAAAACCATGATTTCTAATAGATCACATAAAAAATAGAGTTAGTTATCATAATACACTTGGTAAAAGACTCTACAAAGTTGTGGTTAAAATTGCCAAGAGAAATAATACATACACTTATACATGAACACATGTTAAAAACTTACTAATTCCTGTAACTTTATCGACTGAAAGTCATTTCTTTTTGCAAACATCAATTCGATCTAAGTACTCATTGAATAATATTTAAAATTTAAAAATTCAATTTTTAAGGTTACGAATGTACCTACTAAGTCAAAGAGTTTTGTCGTTTCTTCTTTCACAAATCCTGCGTCCAGAATTAATTTAGTCAACAAAACCAATGACGGGAACCTTTTCTACAAGATACAAGAGTTTTTAGATACATCTTTATAATAAATAAACATTTTTATAGTTTTTAAGAAAAGTAACGGAAAATATTCTTCTTTATTCTAGTGAATAAAGTTATTTTACAAATTTGAAAAAAATTAAGAAAATACGTAGATTCTGGGACTAAAGTTAGTAGGTTTGCAGAAAAGGCCTAAAATACGTAGATCTACGTAAAAAGACGTAGAGTTGGCAACACTGATTTCACTGATTGCCTGATTGGAGTGAACAATTAAAGATCAATGATTTCTGTTATTTAAGATTAATATAATCAAATGATAATGTATGTTAGATGTACAAAGTACTGTAGGCTGTAGGTAAAGGTAAAAGAGCAAAAAAAAAATATCAAAGGATAAGATGTTTACTAGTGTTTACTAGTTGGAATTTGAAAGATTTTTTTTCCCAAGTCTCTATTGAAGGGCCCCCCGTTTGTGGAGGCCCCGGGGCTTTCGCCCCGGTTGCCCTCCCCTAAATCCGGCAGTGTTAATAAGCGCTTCGACTCTGCTAATTTAAAGATTCTACTAATTCTTCAGTTGTGCTGACGAAAAAATCACAATTTTATTTCACAATATCTATGAACGAATTAAAGAATAATTTAAATAAGACGCCAACCGCATTCGATGTAATCCCACCAAAAGCTCCCTGCAAAACCTGTATTACTCTATACTATCTAATAGTGATGTGCTGATACAATTATTTGGACCAGCGATTAGGCAATTTAAACATAATCGATTTAAATAAATATTATTTTCGTGTATATATTATATCAACAGTACTGATTACTAATAAAACTAAAATCTACGGAAAACGAAGCTCATTTCATTGTTTAATGAGATTATCATCATCATGTAACAGGGGCCTTTTGTCTTGTTTCATTATATATACGAGTCTATTCATTGTCACAAATAAAAGTTTGTGCCCAATTTCTTTCCCTAATTACTTATTAATTTACTGTTATTTTATTTTATACTTATCATCCGACTTCCTACTTATAAAAAAGTAACTTGTCAATAAAGTTAGTTAAGTCAGCCTACGTTAGATTAGATGTTTCATTTCGTAGTTTAGTGTGATGTGTGCACATTTGGTCCATATTTCGCCGGATTTGAATAAGTGACGATAAAACAAATATTTGGATATTGTAAGTCGTAAATATTATATAGTACCTATATGGTGGTAGGTGGTTCCTTGTGGCTTTTTAGTTTACTCGTGTGGTTTTTACATGACTTCATCGCACAAGACGGCATATTTTAAAAATTTCATCTAAGCAATTGAACGTGTGACTGGCGCTGTTACGCGGAGTCAAATGGCAGCGGGTTGTCGGACGTGGAGCATTTGTGTGAGTGTAGATAATGTACAACAAACGAAATTGCAGGACCTTGCATCCTTCACACCATTTTAGTTTGATGTTACGTCCGTCTTTTTTTCAGGTCCGTGGGCAACACAAGAAGAAAAGAAAACTATAGCATATTTTCAAAACGATACGTACTATAGTTGTGGAGATGTCTGTCTCGAGTTTAAGACTTTGATGAAAGAGCAGTGAGAAAAATTGTTTTAAAACTCGTCGACTTCTATGAATAAGGGAGAAGTTCCTGTCTCCACAGCTCCAAGCAAAGCTCTAAGGCTACCAACAATTGAAATACCTCCCTTTTAAGGAAGTTACAATGAGTGGACAGGCTCCTATGATTTATTGAAGTCGTTGATACATAATAATGCACAGTTGTCTAACATAGAAAAATATCATTATCTGAAAAGTAATTTGAAGGGCGAAGCAGAAACTTTATTAAAGCAGTTTCAATTAATACAGAAGCGAACTATGATAAATAGTTTAGTTTAGCATTAGAAGTATTGTAGTCAAGGTATGATAACAAGAGACTTATAGTACATTCGCACATCATACGTCTACTAAATCAAAGGAAGCATACGTTGGAGTCAGCCAAAGGGTTACGCGCATTATTAGACACCACGAAAGAAGTATTGAACGCACTTAATAATGTTGACGTAATAACAACAAACTGGGATCCTCTTATCACACATATCATTGTAGCAAAGTTCGACAATGATAGTCAAGTTTATGGGAACAGTTAGCAGGGACTAGAGATATTCCAACTACTAAGCAGATGTTATTACATTTTTTAGAGGTTGGAGGCTTTGAGTGCTACACAACACAAAGAAGTTGTTACGCGTCAACCGTCAATCAAATCGTTCAATGCGAATATTAAAGTCATTCGTTCGTTTTGTTTGAAAGGTCGCTAGTGTTTGCAAAACGGATTTCATTGACATATGAAATGAAAGTGGAAAGTGGAAGGTTCTGGTTCGAATCCAGTCGGACACCTTGGTCGAGTCGGGTGTATTTTTTTAGTAATAATTTTTCTATTTCTATTATTTAGTAACCGGCTTTAAAGGAAAAACATGTTATTTTTTTATAATCTATTACTAATGTATGAAAACTATATAAAATCAATAATTTTTGTTTGTAACAGTAGATACAGTTCTCGATTCGTATAATTATAATTGATACGCGCATCACCACTACTGTCAACAGTGGCGGCGCTAGGCGTCGCGTCGGCGACGTCGGCCACCGCCGACGGCCTCGCGCCTGAGCCAAGTTACCTATTTATTTTCGTTTCTCCTGGCCTGGCTTAGGTAGCCGACCCCGAACAATTCGGGGAAAAAGCTAAGCAGATGATAATGACTTTTATTATTTTCGAACACGTGCGTGATGGAAGCGAGTAGTACTTTACGGGTATTCAGAATCGTCTGTCTGTCAACACTATTTTTGTAATTAAATTTCTATGTTTGTAATTATTTTTTGTCATCATTTGATTATTAACAATAAAACTCGTTTACTCATATGTTATTTTATAATTTGGCTCACTTAATTTAACGGTTTTTTACTGCGAAGTAAAATAGGCCTCGCGAACTTGATGCCGCCGACGTCCACATGTGGTCTAGCGCCGCCACTGACTGTCAAAAACCTTGCTAATTTTCTTCACACAGGAGTTTTAGCGGGATTTCATCTAGTGCGGTTGGCGTTTTATTTTAATCATTCTGAAATTTGTTCATAGTGGATATTGTGAAATAAAATTGATGTGATTTTGTGTTACAATAAAGTCCTCACGTCCACTTGACCGGAATAGCGTATATTTTAAAGATTCCACTAATTCTTCAGTCGCGAATTAGTGGAATCTTTAAAATATACGCTATTCCGGTCAAGTGGAAGTGAGGACTTTATTGTAGTATTGACTACCTCACAGAAGCTTATCGAAAAAGCCGACTCGATATATTTCGTGCCAAACACTAAAAGAAGCATTAGAATGTGTCACATCGACATTCTAATGTAAAAAGAAAAACAGAATAATTTAACTTAAGACTAGGCTGTATGGGCATTGTTCCCCTTGCCTTCCCTGAAAAGGGAGAATTTAACAAAAAAAAACACTGCACACAGCTTAATCAGCTGTTTTCATTGCAACTTTATTAGTTTTTCACCTTTCTGCTTACAAAACTTTATAATAAATAAAAGTCAACAAGTTCATTTCTTTTAAATACATGAATTCCTCAAGTAGTGCATAGTATTTTCTTTTCCTTTAGTTTATTTTTAGCACAGTAGGTTTACGTCAGTGTTTACCCAGTGTCGTGTTTTGTTGAAGTTAATACCAGACTGTTATCTATTTTATGTGGACGAAAATAAATGGTTTTCAGTTTGTAATGTGTAGTATACCACCATGTCCGCCAATGCCACCACTAAAAATGGTGCTACCTGATACGCATTCTCCCACAAAATCCGACAGTCAAAGTCCATTATATACGTGTTCTGATGTTTGTGAATGGGCAGTAGAGCACTCTTCACTATGGGAAGTGTGTATCAAATATAACCTCTGTCACAAGAAAGAGCCATACCGCTATAATTTCATCAATTTTGATTCTATTTTACAAGTTGGGCCCACGTGTGGATTAGCCGCCCTTTCAATGTTAGTGAAAGGAGAAGTAACTGCTGAGGAGATCTTAGATATAGCAAAGCTGGAAGGTTTCAGTAATAATGGAGAAATGTTCAGTTGCATTAATATGGCTAAACTTGCAGATAAAGTAATTAGTCTAGTTGAATTAGATAATGTTAAGTGTACTATTAGATATGGAGGATTATTAAGCAAAGAAACTATAGATAAAATGTTAGAAGGTGCAGTTTTACTAGTACCGTATCCTTTAATAATTATTTGTATATTTATTTCTTAGGTTTTCACACACATCACCCATTAAATAAAACTAGTTTTAACAGGTTAATGCACGAAACTTTATTTATTTATTGATATTTCGCAGCCTTTTCAGGTCTGCATCATCAGAATACTGATTTTTTATTTATTTTTTAGAGCTACCTTCGAAAGACTTTTATTGAGCTTTCGGTTATTTCATTGGAAGATTTTTAAAATTTTATTGTCTATGTATGAATTTATTAGTTAATTAAGTTAATAAAGTAATTTATTTAAATTTCTTTTGGGTAATTTTAAGTTTACTTATTTGACCCTAACTACCGTAAACTACCACCGGTTCCAAAATTGGGAGACCTTTCTGTGAAAACAAACTTAAATAAAAAATCAGTATTCTGACAATGCAGACCTGAAAAGGCTGCGAAATGTCAATAAATAAATAAAGTTTCATGCATTAACCCACTAAAACTAGTTTTATTTAATTATTTGTATATTAATCATTCTTACCTGCATGCAACATACAAAAGAGTAAAAAATGTACAAATTCATTTAAATTAATCATTTCTTTTTTATTAATATTACTGTGTTTATGCTTCTCCTTGACTTAAAATTCAGTTATGACGCAGACTGCAACCACTCACCGTGTTTAAAAAATGGACACACTGCACATTGGGCCCTGATTTGTGGTATTATTATCACTGAGGATGCAGGGGAGTTCTATGACTCTTACCCTGAAAATATTTACGTTATAAGTCGTCATGGGAAGTCTAGGTTTTTAGCTGCATGGAATATACAAGATCTTGCCAAAAGTAACAGGAATTTATGGGAATTTTCACCAAAGAGAGGAGTTGATGGTTTGAAGTATATTTTGCCTGAGGGGGGAATTGGTGGAAAAGAAGGCTTAAGAAACCAGTTTCTTATGTTTGAAGGTTTATAAGAAATGTTGTTATTTCAAGAATATTGTTACATAGTTGTTTTGTAAATATGTACCTATATATAATTAAGATGGGTTTTTAGTAAATTATTTAATGTATTTTTTTTATTATATTTATTTAAAGAACAAATAAAACATTAAATAGTTTGAATGCAAAATTTATTTGTACAATAAATACAAATTATACTTGCAAATTATGATAAAATAATAAAATCTCATCACTTTACTTGATATATTCTAAAGAAATAAAATAATAATTAGACAATATTGTTTCAATAATGTTTTAACATTTAATAAGGTCATTGAAGCAATCAATTAATTTGTCAGTAATTGACTTTTCAAATAAAATCATATTTAAAGTTTATTTAACATATTTTTGTACTGAATTAAACAACAAAAGTGAGCTTATTTATACATTACTTTCATATGTTCAATCAAACCCTCACATAAAAGATTTGTGATGACAATCATGGCTTATGGTCAGCGCACATTATTAGTACATGCAGGGTGTGTAATAAATTGACCAATGAACATTGTAACAACATATAAATTACAATGCTAAGAAACCAACCCTAGAAATAGAAATAAATTACAATGCTTAGAAACCGACACTGAGCTATTGCCGTCTTTTCCCTAGGCATTGACAGCAATAGTGAGGTAATAGTGATACCTACGGAATCACCGTGTTATGACCATTAAATATATGTTAAACATTTTTAAGTATGGTACCTTGCTGTACACCTTTGTGCGCTGGCCATCACTGTTTAGATTTTATGTTTGACACAATTGTTAGCAACCTTTTATTTTATGATGCCATGTAACACAGCATTATCTTTTGTTAATAAGTAAATAAGAATTGCCAAGATAGCAGCTATGAGATCAAATTATACAATATAAATAATAATTATTAAACATTTTTAATTGTGCTTTAATTCTAAACATTGTACAAGAATTACTACACAATATATAAAATGTTATTACCAAATCTTATACATAAATCAAAATTACATTTTTTTTAATAATAAAATAAACACTTTATTTTATGTTTAATATATTGTTTATATGTATGTGAAATATGCATAGAGGTAACATATAATTAGAGTTATAGAAAGCATATCAATATCAGTAGGCTAGGCCTTTAGTTAGTTATTGAAATTGAATACAGAAATAAACTTCTTTTTGTATTAATTGTCCAATCAAATAAAAAACTGTTTCAACATTTCATAATATTTTATGGATGAAACAATAAATAATATTTAAACAAAAATATAGGCCGACATGCAACATTTGCACTATTTTCTTTTAATATAATCATGTATTTTTTTTATTAATAAATAGGTATGTCAAACAGCTAACACAAAAAAAAGTTTATTAGTACATAACAGAAGCTAAGATACTGATTACATTCTGTGGATAGTGAAGAGTAGGCTTTTAATGAGTAAACAATGGTTGAAGCTTATAGTAATTTTCAAAGATACACAGACCATGGCTAAATCTTTATATAGATTACAAACTTCTGCATTTAAAAAAAACACTTGGATAAGTGATTAGAATATATATGTATATTTAAATTTTTAATGGAATAACGTTCATTTTATATAATATTGCAAACAGTTCTACATTAATTTCATCAATCAAACCTATACAGACATAACATAAATAAAAATGTTGTACATTCTTACATTTTATCATTCATATGGAATGATATTCAGTAGAATCTTTTAAAGAGAATTAATTTAAATATAGCTTATATACAAACTATTACATTTTTTCACGATACATAGTTATAATAATACAAGAATTCGATTCGATATAAGGTGAAGTAAAAATATGAATAAAATTACTCAGGTATATTTTATATAATAATTAATAATTTTATGTAATAATAAAAGATCATGACGCACGCTTCGATAATACCCAAACTATTGTCGTGTCATTGGTAAAATTTATATGTAAGTAAATGTATATTATTATTATAATACTTCTATCATACAGTGCCTTCTAAATATTTATTTAAATATATCAAAATTATAAAGAAGCTGATGTAATAACTCAAAACATCAGTCAAAACTACAACTACCTACAAGAGTATTGCATATATTCATAATTAATCTGTTTTGTATTAACATTATTATATAAATACTTATTGGATAAGCCTCAATTAGCATCTCAGCCCTCTATGAACAGTTTGGCACAAGCATTACGATAATACAAGCGAACCCTAATCAAATATTCAGAAGGCATTGTATTCAAATGATTTTTTTTCTGTGCACGAGTTGTAACAATGGAGACATTCGATTTTTTTATCAATGTTATATCTTATACATCATCAATTTTATTATTTTACCCCTTACTAATAGAGCAAGAGTGAGTAATATACGTAGAGCAGTACAACAAAACAAGTTGGGCACTGTTTAAACCGTGTGAAGGCAAATTTATAAGTTTTTCTTTTTAAACTTGTTGAACACTTGGCTAACTTGTATGTTTTGATGATTGTATTTGATGGTGAAGCTATCAGTGCTTTGTATTTCTTCATCAAATCACTTCATTTGAATTCAACAAACAAATTGGTCAATGTAAAGTTTTTACAAAAAATATAAAAAATAAAAAAATAAAACTGAGTCATCAATTTAACTTTATTTCTTGCTATCTCAAAGTGGAATAACAAGTACAGACATTTCATTTTCTTTTCTTTTATAGTATATTTGGAAGGCATACAAGCATACGGTCCGCCTGATTGGAGGCAACCACCGTGACTTATCGACGCCTGCAACACAACGAGTCTAAAAATTTCTTTACGATCAATTTGTTTTTGAATTTAAACGGATAATAAAGCCCGTACAAGTTAAAATATATGCTCTGGCTGTAGTTGGGGATGTATGATGTAGTAGACATGTACAGCACAGAAGTAATATCATACAGATGTCAATAGTGAAACTCCAATGATTGAATTCGTGCACAAAACTGTAGTAAGAACGAGAAACGCCTACACATCAACCAGAAACAATTACACATATTCTATATATTCTAAACATTACACGCATTATTTGAGAATATAGTTAAGGTAACGGAAAATTTCTTGAGCAAAACCACAGACAAACTTGCGCAGTAGACGTTTTTGTATGTAAAAGTACTACTGCGCAGGGTTCTTTGTCAATTGTCGTTGCTCAAGAAGTTTGCCGGGATATATGCTTAGATAGTCCTATGATATTATGAGACAGTCGTTGCCGCCAAAGCGTTCCCATTACATTCTCTTTCTGACGCCATATCCAGGAGACAAGTATAACTCGGATTTTTGTTAGACATTTTAATTATTTACTCTATCCCATACATTCGCAGAGTTGATAATTAAAAACATCTCATTAACCTATGTAGCTATAAATAGAAAGTTATTTTTGTCATTTCTCGGACTGTTATAGCAGTTTATGAAAATTTGTGGTTTTTGAAGTTCATCTACTTAAAAGACCGTAAATTTTCATTAGTAATAACTACAATTTCATCGATCGTATTTTATAGCAGATTATATGCAGAAGAATATAAGGTACACACTATTACTACAATAGTTTTATAATATTTATGTGTTATATTAGCTACTGACAAAGAAATCCTCATCTAACCATCTCCTGGATGGATGCCAGATTTCAATTACTATTTATAAAAAATGGCCATGATACAAATAAAATATCTACTGGCTCGGAATTGTTTTCGAAGAATTAGTGTGGAGGATAGTGCAAGTAATATATTTCGATTTTAAAATGCCAAAAATTTTATAAAATCGCTAAAGAAGACTAAGCATCATTCGGATAACAATTACAAGTAAATTGAACGGAAGATTTTTGTTGGATCATCGTTACTATTAATAGTAAAACATCCTTATTCTAAGCTGCGTCTAACTATGCTAAGGAAACGTATAAACAGCGCTAACTATATCGTATCAGCTGCGTTTATAAAAAATACAAAAGATGACTGCGGCGTTATTGTTGTCTTAATTAATTAGAAACAAAACGAATATTACGAATAGCATTCACGAATCACAGATTAAAAAAACGCGCTCGACTCCAGCACGAACCTACACTGATATGTGCCGACGAAATACTCCCAGAAATTCGGTTTTCTCTACACCAATACGTACATACATATACATAAACTAACTTACATACATATTGGAAATGTCACGAACCATTATTTTTCGATATATTATGTTGAGTACACGAATAACTACATTATAGTTAATTAAATAACGTCACTTACTATTTATGAATGACTATTGATGAGTAGTTAACGTGATAATCGAGCCTTCGTTATGTAGCTTGAATACATTAATCTTAACTCATACTACATTACAATCACGCTGCCAACCAGTTCATTTACCATTTTATTTGATTATCGAGTGAAAACGAACGGCGAATATTCAAAATACATAAAGAAAGCTTCGAACTTCTACGCGCTAATAAATCATGGCAGCTCGATAGCGTTAATAAATAAACGATTTAACGGACTCGACTCAATGTCGAACGCTATAAGGTTCGGAGTCGGCGAATACTGCCGATCGTCATCTGTCGGAACCCGAGGGTAAACCGACAGTTACCGAGCAACTACGACGAGGCTACGATGGCAAGCGCTTTGATGTCCAGCCTTGCGGATCCGCGCCGCTGTGTATCTGTCGTAGGATGATGTCGTATGATAAATCGAATTTTCGCGAAATTTCTAGGGATATTGCGAAAACGCTGATAATTAGACAATGGCGATGACATTTCACAATCTTACTGTTAACGTAACTTTTTGGTCACAACACTAATCTTACCGAGTGTAATTGTCAACTTCCGGAATTCCAAGAATATTTATAATACGCCAACGATGCTTTTAGAAATCTTAATGAGACGACTCGCGTTTACGCTAAAATCCTCTCTTTTTTCAGTAAGAATGAGAAATGTGATCGCCATTGTCTGCACGTTTTCCCAATTACCCTAGAATTTTCACTAAAAATCGATTTATTAAATCATCATTGTGAGGCGGGCGTAGAACTAACACTTGCCGTCTGCCCGTGCCAGTGGAATACTTCAGACTTGTTCTGGACACGCTTACGTCTCGGCGGGAGCGAGGGGAGCTCCGCACGTCGCCACCGGGAACGACTTCACGTGCGTCTGCCACTGCGTTGACAACTGGAAGAACTTCACGCCGTTCCACTCGGTGCCGTCGATGTAAACTATTGGATGATAAGTGTTGATTAATGTCGGAGCATAGGGGTCATCCATGAAGTACGTCACACGTTAAGGGGGAGGATGGGGGTCGACGAAGTGTGATATTGTGTGACAGCGGGTGGGAGGGGTCCTAAGTTTCATGACGTCGCATATCAAAATCTAATACTTTAGAGCTTTAAAATATTTAAGTCTATCTGTAATTGGCTATTTTGTGTTTGCTGTATTTGGGCGGATTTTAAGGGTTAAGGGGGAAAACAGGCTAAGTCACAATAATAAAATTTTACAGTACAAGCAATTAAAGTTACGACAGCATTTTATGACTGACTCAGAAAATCTGCTCTTATACAAGTAGCTGATTTTAAAAGTAAATTTAATAGTACACTACAAGTAAATGTTTTCTGAATAAAAATTGTACAATAACAAAAAAGAACTGATATTTCATTAAAACACCCTAAGGCCGCATACAGAAAGAAAGCTGGAACCCGACCAGTGTTGGTCTTTACTGGTAACAGTTACATAAAGGAAGCAGATTGAAGCGTAGTTGTTCATTAATTTCGAAGGGCGGTGCCAGCGCTGACTAGCGCGTGTCCAAGATTGTCGGCGACGTTTGGCGCTTATTGGCGCTGGTCCATAGCCTGCGAATGAACCGATTCCTATAAGCGCTGGTAGGCTACCAGCTTTCTTTTCTGTATACTGCCTAACAAGTGGGTAAAACTCGTTTGTGATAGTCATAAAATGAAATTAGTATTTTTATGGCCATAGATTCCAAAAAATCAATTTAAGAAAAAATGGTCTAAGCCTGTTTTATCCCTTGGCCCTTCATATTAATTTGTAAATGCAAAAATTTTAGTATGAATATTTGATTATTAGTAAGTACGTTACCTTTGAGCGGTGAGTTGTGCGATCCCTTGGCGGAGCATATGAGGCGCGCGACCCCGTCCACAGTCTGCGTGCGGCCTACTTCCGCCTCGCCAGACTTTTCTTTCTTCTTGCCCAAACGCATTACTGAAACAACACCGATTATTAAGGTCTTAACACGACACGCTATACCAGGTACAGGTACGTACCTGGGCGTTTTTCCCCGCCCCCCATGACAACAACTAACTAGAGCCGAGGTCCGAGTCTCAGAGACGCCCTCTAGTTGAGCCGATCCCCTCAGGTTCGAGTGGTCTAGAGGCTCCAGACGGAAAGGAGACCCCCCGTGGGGAGATGCCATCCGCCTGGAATACCTCTAGAGGCACTCCCCTTAGGATCTCGCCGTCCCCAAACCCGGTGACGCTGTAAAGGTCATCTGAGACCAACAGCATACAATAATAAAGTTTATTGACAGTATACTTCGAAAGATAAGTTTTACTAGAAAAAAATTGCACGCGGACCAGGCAGCAGACGGGACTCGAACCATCCGCTATCAGGCCGGATGTACTGACAATTACGCCACCGCGGCCCTAATGGCCGTGTAGAATTTCTTCTAGTAAGGCTGCCATCTCTAAGGTAACTCACAATGTGAAACTTAACTAAGCTTTTCTAGTAACATTTTCTTTCGATTTAAACATCTAGTAGTTACATGTATACTAGTCGTCATATTTTTTTAAGCTTTTATAAATATATAGGTATAACTACAGCATACCTGGGGGCCAATCACCTTACGGGATTGCTATGGCTATCGCTATCCCTTACGATTTAATTTTGTTATTACTGACCGCAGAAGGTTTTCAAATTCGCTCTTATTTTTCTTACTGCATTGGTAATAACATTGGTAAGAAAATGAGGTATTCGAAAACCTTTAGCGGTCATAAAAAACAAAACGAAATCGTAAGCGATAGCGTAGCCACAGTAATCCCGTTAGGTGGTTGGCCACTTGGTAAAATTTATGTTTGATTCCCCTGTATTCCAAAATGGGCATTAGCCTGTAGTATGGAGATTATTAGGAATTTCACTCGTTGAATGCTGTTGTGATATAAATTTTGAATATCAATAATATATTTTAATTTTAATATAGCCTAACGAATAGGGTATTTGACAAGTTTTAGAAAATGATCTCAGGTTATCTACTCATGTTTATGGAGTCCGTAAAAAGTGGATATTATTATTCATCATTCTGGTGTGTATTTCAGTAAAAATAACCAAATCAAAAACTCCGTTTTCAAGTTGCCGCGAAATCGTTTCTCTGTACACAATATGGCGTCTTACTAGTGTGTGAGGTCACACGACTGTTAATTAAAACGTCAAACGATACAATGTAATGTCACTTTAACCGGAAGTTTACTTGCGTGTGACGTCATTTTAGGCTCCGCCAATCCCAAGCGTTTTGGGTCCCGTGACAATAGATAGGAAAACTATTATCTTTTTCGTTAGTTTTTAGTAAAATGATGAATATTTTTTTTGTAAAAATAGTAAAAACCCCCTTCCGATATTTATTCTAAACACAGATGCCAACATTTGGCACTTTATTTTTAACACTGTCAAATACCCTATTAGTCTGTAGCTGTCTGTACATTCTGCAAATGAGCCTCCGAAGTATAATATCATATGAAACACCGATACATTAGCCATACAGTCACTAGGCTACTCACTCTTTTGCTTCTTCTCCTTGGTGAGGTACGTAATGCACAGGTGGGCGTTCTGTCTCGTAACGTGTAACGCTCGGAACGACGCCTTCACTGTCACTTTAGCATCCGCGCCTTCCGTTTGTCTACCGGGCACCTGGCGATCACACAATAACAACGTTTTTATAAATATAAAGCATCTTTTATAATGTTAAATAATATAAGAGTGTAAACTTCCCTTTATCCGTATTTTATGTATGTATCTATAATATAAAAATAGTCGTGAAACAGCTGAACCGATTAAGATAATTATTTTTTTAATAATATTCCTAGAAGTACGAGGATGGTTCTTACGCAGAGAAAAAAATAAAAGTTAGCTAAGCAGTGCCCTTGTACAAACTTATCGTTTCTGTTCTTTACTGTTTTATGGTGTGTGTACTAAATTATTAAATAAATAAAAAACTGCCTGAATATGTCCAAAAACAACACTTTTCCATACTCCCATACAAATGATTCGCAATAATACTTAAAAGTCAATTTGAACTTTAATACCATACCATAAATTTCAAATGCTAGTGGAGAGGTTCCGGGAAGGTAAAACAATTGAGTAACGTGATGTCAAGAAGTTTGGAAAAGACAAATATACCAGTTTCAGTTTTTATTATAATTATATGAAGAGTCAATTTAGCTCTACACCGAAGCGAAGCGAGGGCGGGCCACTAGTATTTATATAAATATACAAATTCTGTCTCCTGATCCTATCCTCTAAATTCCGATCCAACCTACATCTATTTCCTACAAATGTTTCCCTAGCTTTGACACTGGCTATTCACAAATCGTGTCCAGCCATTAAAAAAAAAAATTACGTTATACAACAGAGATCAAGTTGATTCTGTTCGGAACGGCCGGGCCATTTAAATCGTATTTCCATGGGAATAAACTTGACTCAAAATTTTCGAAGTAAGGGCCAACTAAAATGTGACAATAAGCACGCTGGTTGATTTTTCACTCTTATCATCATCAGCCCATTAATGTCCGCTATGCTTAGGCACAGGCCTTCCGTATAGATGGAATAGGGAAATTGGGCTATGACCCACCACGGGGGCCCATTGCGGAGTAATAGGTGTTAGAGATTGCAGATGCAGCTGGGACCAACGGCTTAACGTGCCTTCCGAAGCACGGAAGCTCGAGATAGTAAATTTTTGGTCACCCCTCCAATGGGTAGGATAGTTGCTTTAACTTCAACGATCGCAGCCGAAACGCTAACCACTTGCGCCATTGAGCTCTTTTTATGTAGGTTCATATCAACGGCCTGCAGCAGCTCTATGTAATAGGGCAGCACCCTGCTTTCAAGCGGATGAATGCTGCACACCGGATCATGCGTTCTCGGGCGTATGATTACCGTCATCTAAAAGAACCTCATTCACCAGTCAGTAGTGCAGCTGCAGCTCCAGCTGTACCGATGCCCGCATCTCCCGCTCACCAGCCAGTAGTCCAGCTGCAGCTCCCACGGCTCCAGCTGTACCAATGCCCACGTCTCCCACTCACCAACCGGCAGTCCAAATGCAGCTCCCATGGCTCCAGCTGTACCGATGCCCCCGTTTCCCACTCACTAGCAAGTAGTCCAGATGCAGCTCCCATGGCTCCAGCTGTACCGATGCCCCCGTTTCCCACTCACTAGCCAGTAGTCCAGCTGCAACTCCAGCGGCTCCAGCTGTACCGATGCCCCCGTCTCCTACTCACCAGCTAGTAGTTCAGCTGCTGTTCCAGCGGCTCCAGCTGTACCGATACCCCCGTCTCCCACTCACCAGCAAGTAGTCCAGCTGCAGCTCCAGCTGTACCAATGCCTCCGTCTCCCACTCACCAGCCAGTAGTCCAGCTGCTGCTCCAGCTGTACCAATGCCCCCGTCTCCCACTCACCAGCAAGTAGTCCAGCTGCAGCTCCAACTGTACCAATGCTCCGTCTCCTACTCACCAGCCAGTAGTCCAGCTGCAGCTCCAGCTGTACCAATGCCCTCGTCTCCCACTCACCAGCCAGTAGTCCAGCAGCAGCTCCAGCTGTACCGATGCCCCCATCTCCTGCTCACCAGCCAGTATTCCAGCTGCAGCTCCAGCTGTACCAATGGCCCCGTCTCCCACTCACTAGTCAGTAGTGCAGCTGCAGCTCCAGCTGTACCGATGCCCGCATCTCCCGCTCACCAGCCAGTAGTCCAGCTGCAGCTCCCACGGCTCCAGCTGTACCAATGCCCACGTCTCCCACTCACCAACCGGCAGTCCAGATGCAGCTCCCATGGCTCCAGCTGTACCGATGCCCCCGTTTCCCACTCACTGGCCAGTAGTCCAGATGCAGCTCCCATGGCTCCAGCTGTACCGATGCCCCCGTTTCCCACTCACTAGCCAGTAGTCCAGCTGCAACTCCAGCGGCTCCAGCTGTACCGATGCCCCCGTCTCCTACTCACCAGCTAGTAGTTCAGCTGCTGTTCCAGCGGCTCCAGCTGTACCGATACCCCCGTCTCCCACTCACCAGCAAGTAGTCCAGCTGCAGCTCCAGCTGTACCAATGCCTCCGTCTCCCACTCACCAGCCAGTAGTCCAGCTGCTGCTCCAGCTGTACCAATGCCCCCGTCTCCCACTCACCAGCAAGTAGTCCAGCTGCAGCTCCAACTGTACCAATGCTCCGTCTTCTACTCACCAGCCAGTAGTCCAGCTGCAGCTCCAGCTGTACCAATGCCCTCGTCTCCCACTCACCAGCCAGTAGTCCAGCAGCAGCTCCAGCTGTACCGATGCCCCCATCTCCTGCTCACCAGCCAGTATTCCAGCTGCAGCTCCAGCTGTACCTATGGCCCCGTCTCCCACTCACCAGCCAGTAGTCCAGCTGCAGCTCCAGCTGTACCAATGCCCCCGTCTCCCACTCACCAGCCAATAGTCCAGCTGCAGCTCCAGCTGTACCGATGCCCCCGTCTCGTCTCCCACTCACCAGCCAGCAGTCCAGCTGCAGCTCTAGCTGTACCGACGCCCGCGTCTCCCACTCATCAGCCAGTAGTTCATCTGCAGCTCCCGCGGCTCCAGCTGTACCGCCGGCCGCGTCTCCCACTCATCAGCCAGTAGTTCAGCTGCAGCTCCCACGGCTCCAGATGTACCAACACTCATCAGCCAGTAGCTCAGCTGCAGCTCCCACGGCTCCAGCTGTACCGACGCCTGCGTCTCCCACTCATCAGCCGGTAGTTCAGCTGCAGCTCCCACGGCTCCAGCTGTACCGATGCCCCCGTCTCCTACTCACCAGCCAGTAGTCCAGCTGCAGCTCCAGTGGCTCGGCGCGCGCCAGTAGCGGCGGCGCCAGGTCGGGCGCGGGCGCGGGCGTGGCGGGGGGCGAGGGTCGCGCGGGAGGCGAGCCCCCCTCTTCCAGTTCCAGCGATGATACGCCCCCCTCGCTGCAGCCCACGCGGACTTCCTGATGAAAGAAATAACGACTTTAGTTTCAAATTACTTGCAACAATTTCGCTAAATCTCAATTTAACTAAAACTAGATTTCGCCCCTACAATTATGCCATATTGACATTGACGCATGACGTACTGACGTTAAACAGTGTATGGGATATAACTGATTTTAATTAAATCGAGATTTAGTAAATTTGCTACAAGTGGGCCTAAGAAGCAATTTTCGATTTCATTATTATCGACTTTGAGATACACAAAACTTCACTTTTGATTGCATGAAAAGTATGGCTTTTGTTTGTGTTATTTCCACAAGATTTTATTTCGAAGAATTGAAATCTTTCTAAAATGTGTCTATAAAATAATAGTGTGACGCGCGTGAACCTTAAGCAAGTAACGTAATGGCCTTTCATGTGTGACAAAAAAATTATTATCTCTTACTCCTCTGTTCCTAGGAAAGCAAATCAAGCCTCTGATTCCGTCTACAATTGCAGTCGCTAGCACTTAGCACCCACCGATACGCACAGAGCCCGCGTGATGCGGTATGGCCTATTTTCTATTATCCATCCATAGAAAAAGTTCTGCGCCCTAGTTGTGAGGACATTAATAGGCTGGTGATGATGATATAAAACAAAAATCACATTATTTTTCACCGTTTTGTCCCTTATTAAAGTAAAATAATGCTTGTAATCATGCACGCGTACGATACATACCGCAATAAAAGGTACAAAGGTTTGACTCGCGTCTTCGTCACCCGATTTCTCTCTGTACGCCACCATCGCTTCGCCTATGGGAACGCTGTTTAGCGGCCCGATGCTATTCAGGTACCTGCAAAACAAAATATTATTATCATCCACCTAAAGTAGTACACCGGTAATTTTCCGAAATCTGCTTTACTTTAAAAACAAATTGGTCCTTCGAGCAAGATATACAAATATGAAAACAATTTTTTCTTTTATAAAAATCCATATAGATATTCGTTTTTATATTATACACATAAACAGTACTATTTTCAGTTTATGTGTAAGTTCTCGCTTTAATTTTACAAAAAAATAACTATTTTGTATAAGCTATGTTGCGTAAGTACTTGAGATCGGATAATTGGTAAGAGTAATAGGAAATATAAAAAGCTGATTGAATTCCTTAAAAATAAACGGCTTAAAGTCCAGCTATGTCTCTGTGGTACCTATTACAAAAGGCAAATTATTTGAAAGGCACATACCTTGCGATTCTAGACGACATCTCTGCGATATCGGCCACGTTGTCAGTAGCCCGCTCGCATAGTGAAGCCCACGTCTCGCCGAGGAAAAGCGCCGCGTACGTGCTGTCCGTGGCCCCTAGATACCGCGCCACAGTGTTTGGCCCTGTAGCAATAGTGTAAAAAATTGTCAGACATCCAACGCATTAGAAATTATATGGAAGCACTACTTTCTATTCGGGGGGCTATGTCCCACACATGGAGCACCCCCACTAGAGTCCGCATCACACAAATTTTGTTTGGAATCAAAATCGCCAAAGTCGGTGGGGTGCAGGGAGGTCAGCCCCGCTGTGATTGGACGCGTCAAGGTCAGATCATATACTCAGTGCAGCGAAGTGATTTTATTTTATTTTTTATTTTATTTATTTATTCAGAAAACCAACAGCGTAACAAAAAAATTTTTTTTTACATACTTTCTAATACTAAGGCTAATAATAGGTTTTCTATGAAATTTACAATTGTACTAAGACGTGGGAAGACATGATCTATTGCTTATTAGCTAATACTAGTTTTATTGTGTATGATGGAGAACCAAGTACATAGTCCCTCATCACCAACTGCTCCCGGCGACCCGAGTCTTTGTTAATAGAATGAATGTAGTATAATTTTTGCCGTAATAGCATACCGAACGTATTAACTGAAATACTGCAAAACTCGCTGTTTAAATGTGTGTTTCGATATCCCGAAAAGTTCAAGTTCGTTAAATTTTGTATTATATGTACGTGCTATACGAATGAGGACATTGTTACTAGCATATCTAGTGGAATATTTAGGTGTACACAGCAAGGGAGTATGGCGTGTGCGTCGCTTAGGAGTACAAAATCCGATACCCGCTACTAAATTCGCGCAGTCCAATTGCCCATTTAAGGTGTCGAACAGTAGGCACATGTCAAGCAATACCCGCCTCTCCTCTAAGCTCAAGAGGCCATGATGTTGACATCCACTATGATATGAATCAGGGGAAATACGTTGTCGATAGTTAAGATGTTTAATAAATTTTTTTTGGATTCTCTCTAGACGATTGGGGTGACCAAATTTGACTAGCGTATTCTAATGTACTGCGAACATATGCACAGTAAATTGATTTAATGGCGGCCATGTCACTAAAGGGTTTGCACGAACGCAGGACGAAGCCCAAGCTCTTGTAGGCCTTGTTAACAACGTGGTCTATATGAGGTGTTAAAGTCATCCTACTATCAAAAACAACTCCCAAATCTCTAATCTCCGTCACTCTTGCAATTGGGTTTTTATTGAGTGTATATTTGTAATGAATAGGCTTGCTTTTTCGTGTATATGAGATACACTGACACTTGCCTATATTGACAGTGATTTTGTTTTCCATGTAATACTTGCTAAGATTGTCTAGATCGGATTGTAGGGATTCGCAATCGCGAATATTTTTGATGCGAAGAAAAATTTTTTTGTCGTCTGCATATAACAAGTGTTCGGCATATTTTAAATGAACCCCAATGTCGTACAAGTAAGCGCTATAAAATAAAGGCCCTAGATGCGACCCCTGAGGCACGCCTGTTGGTATATCAATGAAGTTTGATCTATATCCACCCAAAACAACTGCCTGAGAGCGGTTTTCTAAATATGACTGTATCCAACGTAACAAGTCCCCGTGGATCCCCAGACTATAAAGCTTGTGAAGCAAGATGACGTGATCAACGCGATCGAAAGCCTTTTCGAAGTCCGTGTAGATCACGTCTACCTGTCCGCCGCTGTCCATATTCATCAAAGTGTAATTCACAAAGGTAGATAAATTGGTAATAGTGGAGCGACGACGAAGAAAACCATGCTGACGGTCTGATAATCCTTTGTAGATAACAGGGTAAATCGCTGCGTACACAATTTTCTCGAAGACTTTACTTATTGTATTAAGTATGGAAATTCCTCTGTAGTTTTCCACCTTTGTTTTGGAGCCTTTTTTGTGTAACGGAATAATGTGAGATTTTTTCCAAATAGTGGGAAAAGTGCCCTCAAATAGCGATCGATTAAAAATAACTGTTAGTGGAGATGCCAATGTTTTAGAGCAGTTTTTCCAAAATATTGGAGGAATGTTATCATTGCCAGCGCCCTTGGAGCAGTCCAAGTTGAATAAAGCTTTAGATACTGTTTCGACAGGAATATTTAATTTAGAAGCATGATCGATGCTCGTAGATGTTTGTTGAAACGACGGGGTGGCAGTGTTAGGTTCTCCGAAAACACTCCCAAAATAATCACTAAACGCTTCGCATATCAGAAAACCATCTGTGAGTGTAGTTGACCCTGCAATAACAGACCGAGGATAATTAGAACCTCCACGAAGTGACTTTATATATGACCAAAACATTTTGGGACAAGTTTTAACAGAGCGCTCAACGTTGTTGATGTAGCTTTGAAAGCAGGCTTCACGTACTCGGCACTGTCTTTTACGTAACAAAGAAAATTCATCATAGTCCAATAGGTTTCCGTACTTTTTCCACCTAGCGTGAGCCTTGGATTTCTCTTTTATAATATTAATTAGGGACTTACTGTACCAGGTGGGATACGAGCGATTTGAACCATGTTGCTTGCTAAACGGGACATATTTATTGATGGCATCGTAGACAATTTTGTAGAAGGTATCTGTTGCTTCATTGACTGAACGGGATGACAAAATAGAATTCCAATCTTCTTCAGTAAAGTGCTTATTTAAGCTGACATAGTCACCCTTTCTGTAGTTACGTTTTAAGCTGTTTAATTCCTTCAATGGCTTAACTGACACGTCTAATATTTCAATCAAAAGAGGGGGATGGGAACGATCTTCCTTAACAAAAGGTATATGTTTTTCAACTGCTAAAGGTAAATTAGAAAATGCCAAATCTAGTACGTTCCCCGCATAGTTTGTAAAATTATTGTATTGACAAAAGCCTAATAGGGATAGGTTATTTATTAAGTGAACGCCTGCCTTTTGCACCGCGATACATCCACGTTGTGCGAAGATGGGTTTGTTCGCACTCCATTCAATTTGTGGAAGATTGAAGTCACCGAGTATCAAATGATTATCGCATAGATTGCAATTAAAACCTTCGCTTAATGAGTCCACAATTAAGTTTATATCCTGTGTAATACGATTAGGATCCGGTGGTATATATATAGCGCTTATGTGAAGTGCTGCCGACGAGTTAAAAGTGATGAGGGTAAGATCGATTTTAGAAAATATCGATATTTTCTATCGATAAACAATTTAGAATAGAGGCCTAGTACTTTGGTGCGCAAATGCGTAATCATACCCTCTCCACTTTCTTACAGCGTTCTAATTACATGACGCGACTAGTAACTACATATAATTTAATGAAATGAAATGAAATGAAATGAAAGTTTATTTGCATGAAACATAGTTTGTTACAGCTGGTAAACAATATTAAAAAGTTCCATATGTTTCGCCCTT